AGGGAAACCTCCCTGGGAGGCACACTTGGCTCAGATCAACCTTGTCATCTAAAATAACTGCCAGAGAATCAAACAGCAAGAATTAATTATAGGTAACAACGTTAATAGCCTCCCTGTGATGTTACTGAAATTACCCAAAGACAAAGGAGACAGTTACTTAGATCTGGATAAGCCTTTAGCATCTGGTATGAAGCCAGCTAATGGCTGGGAGAGGTGGTTAAGGAACAATTCCACGAGCAGTGGCAGTGAAGACCTGGGTTATGGGTCAAACATCACTAAAGGTACCTAGAATAAATTCACAATTGAACAAAGTAGAAATATCTGAAAGATGATGAGACAAGGCCAAGGACATTTAGAGGTTGTAACATTGGTCACAGGTCTCCAAACGTCTTTCATGTTGGTGCACCATCAGACTGACAATTACCAGTGAGAAACGCTGCTAGATCTAGAAGTACAAACTTCATGAGAAAGAGCCATGAAATCTCAGCAAAATGGATTTGGTTCTCATTCACTGTGTTCCATCACAAGAGACACTGTATGAAGGTCAAAGGCAAACTCATCTTGGAACTATGCGCTAAATGACATTTTGGATGGGATGCTGCCATGAAAAAGGTTGGGTTTTTGACCAAAGATGCCATCTTCTGCCAGGTTTTTTTGGTGTTCACAGAAATGGCATTTTCTTGTAAATCATTAGGATTATTTCAAATTATCTAGCTCTGGCAATTTTTTCTCTCCTGCAATGGGAACTGTCAGCAAGTGCTCAAACCCTGCATAGCCAGCTGGGTCAAAAGCGGAAACAATATCTTGCTAAAATATGTTCATCTTGGCAAGGATCTATTCAACACATCACCACACAATAGATTTAAATAGAGACACAAAAAGCAAGCTTGCAAGTGCCAAAACAACCAGCAAAATAAAGCCCATTTCCTATTCTCAATATGGCAAGTAACAAAAAATATCTGTTCACAATCAAATCAAGCTGACAAAGCAAAGTTAAAATGGCTTGGATTATAGCCAAAAAAAAAAAGAACAGAACAGATACAGAGAGATAATATGCACTGGACTCTGAAGCCCACTTCACATTTTCACAGGAAGACAAATGAAAAACAGCATGATGTGCATTTTTGCTATCATCTACAAAATAAGTTGGGAATATAGTTCAACATCAAATAAAGATGGACAGACATGATATAAGAGATTACAGTTCTGTCAAAGACACGTGTTTCCTTCTTTGTTCAGAGTTAGTTCTTCAGGCTGAACACTTTCTTCCTCACCTGTTTTTAATCAGAGCTGCTTGTATGTATTTACATGGCACCTAACACAAGGTAGACTACCTAAACACTAGCAACTATAATAACATATTACTCTGGTGAGTAGGAGAACATAAACAGGTGGAGCCTACAATTAAGATACCTTAAAATCTTCTAAAGCAAAGGTAATTTAAGGATGCCAGGCAACTGAATGGTAGCAGTATCTTCACTCTAGCATTTTCTTTAAAAAAAATAAAAAAGTAAACCTTGGATAACTTTTTCAATGCACTTTATTTCACAACAGCAAACTCAATGTTTTTTTCAAAATACATATATTTAGAAGGCAGTGTTTCTGAATATTTACAATTCATCAGTCAAGTCTAGTATGCACTGTAATGCCACTAGAATGACTAGACACTTATAATTTTCATAAATTTTGTTCTAACCTATGTCAAACAGATGCAAGATGTGCTTTGGTACCTGGGAATACAGGTTCATCAAAGTATTCTAATATTAACCCATGTTAAACAATATCAGGCTATATAAGCTTCCCAACTGAATATTAACCCTGGATCCCAAATTGCTGAAAGTTTAAGAAAACTTTCATATAGGGGAAAGTTGCCAGTAGACGGGGGTTTTTTTTCTTGTGTGTGTGTATATATATATGTTTGCTTGTTTGTTTGTTTGTTTTAGGATGGAAACAGAGAGCCAGAAGCACCTGCACAGTTTAAAACAGGAAGAAGTACTTCAGTCAGTAAAACACTATTATATACTTGATTTGCCCACTGAAAAGCACAAGGTAAACTTATTATTTTCAGTTCAGAAGTGTACTTTTTCAGTTACATTGTGTATTTCAAGAGGAAAAAAAAAACGTATTTTTGTACATTTTGCAAAAACACAACACACCTTCTCTTAAGCACTGAAAATGTGAGTTAGCAGGGCTTTTGGACTGACTGCGTTACCAAAATGGTGAAAGAGAGTACACGATACAGCAACATGGCATGCAAGAAATTGTGCAGTCTTTAGAACTTGCTTTGATTCCTACCAATCAGGGAACAGCTTACATAGTTTCTAATGATTTGTGACTATACAAGGATATGGAGTTAATACAGGCCTGTGAGGTCTCAACACACTGTGAGTGTCATTAGTAAAAAACGTGGGAATAAGGGGTACCTCCTTCATCAGATGGCTTTGTTATCTCACTGCAGTAAGAAAAGGTAGGGTTCGTGTCAGAGCCATCTGATTTATAATCTCCCAAACTGGTAGAATGTAAATACTGCTTACTGTAACGGCTTGCCTTTTCTACAAAGGTAGGAAGAAAGAATACCACAGTAAATAGATGACAGAAGGGCAAAGATAAGCAACAGCAAAAATCTCAACACTGCTAATATCAATATTCATACATTGGTGGCATTAAAATTAGAGGAAAACTAATTGTTTACAATTTTGTATCCATTTTGAACACCATTAGTTCAAAAGGTTGCTTCAAAATCAATTAAGTATGTTCTCTGCTTTAAAAGAATGGCAAAAATGAGAAGCAGAATTGAGATACTGGGGAAAAAAAGGTATGAAGATAAAGCATATGAAAATTTACAGTGGAAAATCAAAATGTTCTTTTACCCCAGAATGCATATAAGTGCATGTGGAAATACTGCTGAATGACACTAAAACAATATTTAAGAATCCACTAATAGTAGCAAAAAAAAAGTGCAAAATTAAGCACTCAAAATAAATATTTCTAGGGGAAAATAAAAATCCTGTAGAGCCAAAACACTGCTGCCTGTTATTACATTAACTTCTCTCCTTTTCCATGTATCCTTAAATTATTAATACCTTGGTGTTGCAAACAATAGCATAAAGCATATCTTGTACCATATAAACAAAATGTGCCTAGAAAAGAAATCCATTTCATAAATAGGCCATCTTCTGTATTTCTGAAATTTTAGTGAGGTTCAACTATTTGAAAATTCTACTTATAGTGACAACAAACAAAGTTTTTAGGTGACTGTTTCTAAGCAGTACGCATAACTGCTGTCTAGGATAAGATTTCTTTCACTATTTCCAATCTGCACTTGTGATTACAGCTGAAGTTCCTATAAAACAGCTGAAGTTCCTATAAAACACTGCTTTTAAAATAATACAGATATAGATATATGAAAACATTCCTATAAAACATATGGCTGGCACATTGACCTGAAAATTTACTGTATCAACTTAGCTTCATAAGCATTAAAAGCTGATTTGGTGAAAAGTTGGGATATAAGCAATACCAGAAAGCATATGCAGACTCCTAGACTGAATATTGTCCTCCAGAGGATCAATGTCGAAGATGGAGCCAGGGTCTGTGCGCCAAACTTTAAGATCTTTTCCCAAAGCACAAAAATGATAAGACAGACAAAAAACAAAGGAAGTAAAAGCATGAAAGGAATGAGTTTTAATAATCAGTGACCAATTTCCTTCACCAAAAAATCTAAATATTCACCTGAAAGGACCAGAAAGAATTAATTTTCTGCTTAAAAGAACTTAGTGCATTCATTTCAAGCACTGACATTATTTTAAGAATACTTTTCATCCCCATGTTTGTTTTCCTTTTCTAAACATGACCACAGTATTTCCTTAAGTCTAAATAAATGGAAACTAGTTAAATATTGCATACCAGAGCTCTTCCCCACTAGCAGAACTAAAATCATCAGAGCTACAAGATTATTTCCCCAGCCCATCAACAGCATCCTTACCGCATGGAGATGCTGCAGTACATATCCCTATAGTCAACAGTTGGCACTACACATCTGTACATCTGACAGAGACACTACAGACACTACAGGCCCTCCTTTGCATACAGTAGAGATCAAGTCACCCTAATAAGCAGAATCAGGGGCATAGCTGGTCTTATCCAAAACAAACTTCTACAAGTTGTTCAATTCATTTGAACTCAAAAGTATCCATCTTCCCTAATTAATACCAAAAAAATGGACTAGGGTGAGTAATTCAGCTGTAGAAGCCTACATCGTAGACATCTACAGTTGCGTAAAATGAAGCCCACTCCTCATCTTCACTAGCAATCCCATTTGTCTTCCAAATACTTCCACTACTGAAAAGCAGTTTTCTATTTTATTGTATAGATTCAATAACAGTAGTAACCATAAGATCTTCAGCTTTAATTCATACAACTAAGTTATTAATATCTCTTGAGTTCACATGCCTGAAGTGGATATTGAAAGAAAAAAGAGCCCATAAGAAATAATTAATTTCATATCTGAACTCAAGTTATAAACACAGCAGAAAAGGAAATACAGATTCAACCATGTCTTCAATAAACTTTTAACAAATAATTAGTGTTGTATAAGAGCAGGCTTATAACAAATGCAGAAGCAGCTACAGTCTAAATTCTTGATCTGCTCAGATCAGTCTAATATATACAATTCATATCTGCTATGTCTAAAAATATAATTATCATTTAATCTCTCCAAACTAGTTTAAAATAAAACCTTGACGTAAAGTACAATCAGTTAAAGCACAGATCTACCAAATTACACCTTTTTACTAGTGGTTTGCTTCTTGACCAGACCTGTCTGCAAGATTTACTCAGTGCATTGGAAGTGGAAAAAATAATTGTCTTTCCAACTTGGCCCTTTTGCTAGTTTGAGTGGTACCAAGCTAAATAATGGGTTGGTAGGTGAAGTAGGACTGTGGGGACCCCAAATATGTCATGTTTCAAATGATTAATAGCCTAGAGGCAATGGAAAGAACACAGACCTAATAAAATAAATCCCATGGCGTTAGAATACTTTCAATGTATGTACGTAATGTGTTATCTACTGCAACTCCCATAAGGTGAGGCACAGTGCTAACTTCCTCTTGACAAGATGAATAAAAGCCAATGCAAAATCTTTTGATAAACTATGTGTCAGTCCTAATGATGATAAATTATGCAACTACACAGAGCACTGGCAGGTATGAGAGGGGTGGGGAAACTGGTGAATGCCCAACCTCTCCTGTTTGATCATGCCTTAGTAAGTAAAAAAAGTACAGCCTGATGGCAGCATCAGTGCAGGAGCCATTGATTTGTACTGATTTTATCTATTCAGTAATCTGAGATAGCATACATACAATCAGAATCTTGGCAATTTATAGCACCAATCAATTTTAACTTCCTGGTAACTTTTGCCAATTTAAAATATCCTTATACTCACGTGAGAATCATGGAGCTTCTTTAGTCACAGATCCAAAGCTCATTTAGACTAATTTATCTTGATGAGTTTAGAATGATTTCAGCATGGTTAAAACTAGTGCCTATTTTCCAAAGGCAATCAGACATTTGGAAAAGTTGTTACAGCATCACTGATAATACTTCAAAAATCAACCAGATGGACTCTAACACAGAGATACTTTTCCTAACCTTCTGAACAATTATCAGGTAGGAAAAAATTCAAGCAAGTCATAGTTATTTTTTTCTGTCTGCAATTTTTTTTTCTATCTGCCAAGGACATTCCATGACCAGGGAGCTCACTGCTTCCTTTTAAACAAACAGATACAATTGCAGATCACTCTGAAAAAGCATTAGCTGAAATATCACTGGCTATCAGGCCCATAGGTTTGTCATGGACTGCTTCCTTTAAACAGCTGTACTATTTTTGGTGTTTGGAGGGCATGAGGAGCTAAGAATTCCCGTGTGTTTTGATACTGGAGAATTTTAAGGTGACAAATGGAACTAATATTTCAGTTACTAACAGCTCAAGAATTTATCTCAGGGATGTTATTAATCCTAATCTGTTTGTGCTAGCAAGCCTTCAGTTATTGAGCTAAGGATTGCATTCATGATTCTTACATAGGTCTACAGTACACATGCAGTGCAGTACAGAGTAGGAGGTTTGAAGAGCACACTAAACAGCACATTGCAAACTATATATTAAACTGCAATTTTGCAGGAGCTTTTCTTTCTCTCTCTCTCTCTCACCACCTCTAGCTACGGAATTGAGTTCAAGAGTTTGGGTCTCTACAGACAATGATTTTCTGAACAAGCTGTTGCCCTAGATGAAAAACGTGTGACCTTTTGAGATTCACATGGTCTTAAAAGCATCAATACCTTCTTCAGGCAGAGATATCCAAACATTCACTTTTGAGAAACTCCTTCTGCCATAAGGCTGTGGCTACAGACATGTAAAAGGTGGCTATACGAAAGGAAAGAAACACACTTCTTTATGTGGTAAGTACTCATATGGGGAATTTAAGGAAAAGAAGCATCTGTCAGAAAGACATAGATATAGTTAACGTTGCTTTAGGCAGGAGAATGGACTCTATGACCCAACTCAGTCCATCTGATCTGCAAATTCTCTAATTTTTGAAAGGCAGACTTAAAGCCTACCCTTGCTATTACTACTATGCATGAAGGATTTTAGAGTGTTATCTCAGCATCTTTTTCTGTACATAGACGCTCTGGGGCCTATACTGTTGTAAAGCACATAAAAACAGAAAAAGGACACACCAAAATAGAAAGGAGAAAAATATTAAAATATCAGGTTACATTTTCCTTTGCAATAGCAGACTTGCTAACTCTTAAGAAATTCTGAATATTCATCTTGATTTTGAAATAGTGTTTATTATGAATATCCCAGATGACATCTTAATGCAATATTCTTTCTGTACATACAAAACCAGTCTGTATTCTACCCCCTGAACACTTGGCCTTATCTTGGACCATTTTCTAGATGGTTTTAGAACATCACTCCTGAACACTGGTGTTTGGCTTACCAGAGATCCAACAAGTTCTTGATTAATTGCAGCTTGAGACACTTTGAAAGCTGTACAAAATTCTAAAACAAGAGGTAAATGAACTATGTGCAGCTCTGGAGAAATTGCTGACTGACGGAGAAATCTCAAACTGGTCTGCAACATTTAAACACTGAAATCTTGAAAAATCACAGCTTTAATCATCTTCCTTCTGTGCATAATGAAGGTTACTGCAGATTATTATGGCCTTTCTTGAAGAGTCAAAATTCAAATGTAAAGTAATAACAATGATTATCCATATGTGAAAAAAAATTACAGAGTAAATTACAATGTATCTCCCATTCATTCCCATTATTACTTCGCTAGAAGCTGGCATTGAATCAGTAGTTCAACACAAGTTTCATACTGAGAAAAGAGTGAAAATGAAATCTGAGAGTATTTTTTCTTGGTTATAATAGAGAGTATAAGCAAAGGCTTTCATCTTCTCCACAGTGTTTTCAATAGCAACAGTATTTAACAACTTACCAACAATTATACCAGGTCTTCTATCCATTTCAACGATATGTGGATGCACACCTTTATAAGCTGCATCACTCACGATTTGGGTGTTTTTCCGCACCCGCTCTGTTATAGGATCATCTACCACTGGGGTGAAGCCTCTGCCTTTTGTCTTCTCAAAATCTTCATGGTATTTTACCTAGGAAAACAAGAAAAATTACATTCTTCTCCAAACTGCAATTGACAGCAGTTATTCTATGCAAGAAAGCATATGTGTTTGTTTTATGAGGCACTTATATTCTTTGGGTTTTGCATCTTAATAGAATTGTTGCACACATGAGAGAAGCTGGATGGCCAGCCAAGTCTTTTCTGTCTCTCTAACTTGACTTCCTTCTATTTTATTATCATTTTTGCATTCACTTTCCACTACCACTGAATTAGGCATTAACTCAAGCAACAAAGTCACACAGGACAGGAAAAGCCCTCAGGAGGTCATCTGGTGCATTCCCTTCTCTAAGACAGGAGAGCTTTCTACTGATGCAGACAACTACATCTGTCAGTAAAAAATGTTCCAGCAGTAATAGCTGTAAAGAACTCAAGTACCTTCATTCACTGAGAATTTTGATTATACACACAGTTTCATACAAAAGCTACTTTTCTGCTCTTTTATCATATGCCAGCTGGCTTTAAACACAGATTTTTAGTGAGAATTGCAGTTATTCCAAGCAGCCTGTTTAAAAAAAAAAAAAAGAAACTTAAAACAAGGGCATTAGGGTAGAAAGTGTTAAATAACCAAGTGTTGGAACAAAACCAGTATTAGTAAGAGTTATAAAGTAGTATCCCCGATTATGCATATTTACTTTTTAAGTAAGTCTTAATCATCAAAGAATTAAATTGACAAACATTCTCACACAAGCAAATGCACACAAACCAACTCATTCCAAGAACAAAAGCCACGCAGAAACCAGGAACGTGCACAGGCACAAGGTGAAGTGTGTCACCTAATCCAGTCAAACTGTGTGATGCTCAAATGAAGTGTGTAATTTTTTAAAGAAAAAAAAGAACAAAAGAACAGACATTTAACTGTTAGAAAACTTTTATTAGTATCTTGAAAATGTTCATTACAGTCATATGCAGTTAGCAACCACTCCCTCAACAGGCATAAGAAGAAAATATTCCCTCCATACTCGAGCAGAGAGTTTCATTAGTTACCTATATTAATGGAAGGCAAAATCCAGTGGAAGACAAGTGTCATTCCTTAGTATACTCTAGTTATAGGAAGAAAGTACCCTACCATTGAGATGTTGTTTTGTGTTTCTTTGACATGCCTTAGCTCAGGTGTGTCTAGAAGCACACTACGTCTACCTTTCATCTGCCTCTGATCACTGCTGTACTTGACCTGCAAAACAGCAACAACAGCACACGTGAAGTTTTTGTTTACAGTAGAAAGGATGGCAAGAACCATACCATGCAACGGTATCCTTTCCAAATCACAATGCCCAACATTCTTGTGACTAATGGACTTTCTTAGCTCCTACATTGCACTGTAATCTGTGCACTGAGTGTTAACAAATATTTTAGATTTACCTATACATTCACACTCAAAGTATTAACTCTCAAATTATTTGTGCACACCGATTTCAACACACATTTGTGATGAGAGAAACCAAGTACTGAAATTGTCTAACCTTCCTCAAAATTACCTATTAGCTAAGCACAACATACCTATGAAAATATGAGTCTTGGTGTCCATGTTTCATAGGTAACTTTGAAATCATGTAGAGAGAAACAGAAATATATGGTACTGCATATTCTTCAAACCCTTCTTAATTAAACAATAAATTTTCTTAGCAAATACATTCAGCCATATATGCTTTTGAATATAAAGCGTTTTCTGGGCAGAATAATTACAGTCAACATTGTTTGGTTTTCATCTACTGCTCATTAACATTGAGGAGTATTTAGCCCAGTAAATCTTGAGAAATGAAGTGAAGGAGTCACTTGGAAAAAAAAAATCTTAATTTTCAGGAAAAACGTATTTAAAGTCTAGAACTGTTGGGAAGTTTCCCTCTTAACTATGCACCTCAAAACTAACTGACTTTAGTAAATATGCACGAACATTTTAAAAACGTACCTACGACATACGTAGTCACAAGGTCAAATTCTGTTCCTCTGTCCTTAGACAAATCCTCTGACAAATCCAACCTACTTTTCCCCGCTACACTCAGTTCTAAAGTGTTCACTACTATTAATTCTCTTCTGCCACTTTGAGACAGTGGCTTTGCATGAAACCTCTTCTATCTACCATCTGCAGACACTTTGTTACTGGTGTTTCAGTGTTGAGGACACAGGCTGCAATGTGACTAGTGTGGTCCTTTATTTCACCATGCCATTTTGAGTTCTTTCTTGCTTCCTATTAGAACTGTCTGCTGTAACTATTATCATAAAAGACAAGAAAAATACAGTATTTTACTCTTCAAGTGTTTAGTAATAACATCTATTTAGGAATACTCAGCTCTACCTGGCAAGTCACAGAGTAGAAAATGCTTCCATGCTTTGAATCACAAAAAAATTAAATTTTCACTAAAGTTAAATTCTCACTTCCTTTGTTCTTTACCATAATTTACTTCTGTAATCTAGCAAGTAAAACTTGTTAACAAGAGGCAAAAATTCTTGGGAGAATGGCTGACCTCTACTGACACTCTCCTTGAAAAATACTGGTGCCAACACAACCACTTACATTTTTGCAAGAATAATCAGGCAAGTCTGAATATTTTTGTTGCCCATAGGTACACTGCACATAATCAAAGGATTAAAAAAAAATCCATTCAGTGGATGATGCAGTTGGATTCATTTGACACATAAATCTAAATGGAAAAGTATATCCTTGTTATATTCCTACAATGACTGAATCATCTAAATGACAAAAAGATTCAAACAACTTGCCGAGCTGATATTGTCTTGATTCTTCTTGACTCTCTCCATTTCAGGAGTGACACTCACAGCAGTAGCTTTGCCAGGCTGCTCTCTGTAGTGAACCTATTATTTAACAGAATATAATGGTACATACTGTTTTCAGCTAAAGCAGTATCACATTGTATTACATTAAAATGCATGATTTTAAACGTCATCCAGGAAACAACTGAAAAGCTAAAATGCATTTGAAGCTTATTAAAGCTCATAAAACTTGATTTTTGAAGCATAACATTGAATTATTTCTGTACAGTCTTCTTATTAATGCATTTGTGGGGATATATACACACATATGCCCACAACATCTTAACATTTATCACACTGGTCTTTGGCAATATAGAGAAATATTTTTGGATAAGTATTTGGAATGGGGTGAGTCACGAATAATGCAATAAAGTCAAACAGAGGAAATGAAAAAACTGAATTTTAAAATGTAAAAGTAAGTGTATATTTGTCAGACATAAAGATTCCATAAGGATACCATCCATGTTCTAACTTTTACACTCTGTTCAAAGGTGATTAAACAAAAGGGGTGCAATACATCAGACAACTGCCAGTTGAACCCAACTGCCTAAATTTAACCAAGCATTTATTTAAATGTACTGTAGGAATATCTCCTCTATTGTTTTTTAACAAAACACACTTGTAGCAATGATGCACTGGTCAAATGAACACTCAAGGCAGGATCAGTATCTAAAGAGGATAAAGGATAGGATATGGCATTGATTGGCCATGTTAACCCTGGCCTTAAATCCTGGGAAGTCAGATATGGTACACATTTAGCAAATAATTAAATATTCTTGCATGACTTATGTCAATCCATATAGTTCTATCTAAAAGAAATGTTTCCATACAAACTTTTTTTTTTCATAAGCTCTTGGCTTTGTGTGATAAGTGTAACTGCGGTGATACACTGTGCTCATAGTTCTGCAGTGCACTGTGGCATTAACACACATATTGTTCAAGCAATTGTCTTCCCACACAACTCAGTTTTGGTCTGTCCACATCAACATATTCCAGTTGAAAAACTGATATCTTACAAAAAATGAGGGAAAGCTATCAAATGGATCAAACTTGCAAACCGACATTTAAAAAGATAAAATTATTATTCAGACTTAATGTTTCTAGAAAATTCTGAAATTAAAAAATCTTCACCCAAAGCTATTTCAGTGACCTGAAAGAGAATTTAATCTCTTCTGTTAAATCTGCACAACACAAAAACTGGTGAAAAGTAAACAATGATGTGAGTAGAACTATGCAGACTGGCTTAAATCACTTGGGAAAACAGGTTTGTTTGAACAAACATTTTAGGAGAACTAGATACTCAACATAAATCCAGGAATAAATAGCATACACTTAAGTTAGAGGGAGAGTATTCTTGAAAATTGTAACTCTGAATTAATTTGGGGAACATGGCAGAAAACACCCCACAGAAACACTGTAGCTATTGGTAGTCCCATGAAATACAGCTGCTGACGACAGTTCCCAGTTAGAAGAACAGCTGGTCTCTCAAAGACTCATGAAGAAGGTACAACTCCAGCAACGGAGGAAGGTAGCAGCATGCTCTGAAAGCCCTTACCTGTGCTCCTGCAAACAGTATGAGTTTCTAATGGTTATGTCAGCTATTAAATACTAAACTCTGACAGGAAGGTTACTGAGGAACCAGAAAGAGACAAGTGAGAGAGCTGTGTACAACTGTAGCCAAATTTTTACAAAGCAAAGCAAAAAAAAAAAGCTGGAAAAGGATATTCTGTTAAAAAAAATAAATTCAAGATTTCCTGCAAGTATCCAAGACAGAGAGTAACATTTCAGCACATTGCAGCTATTTCTTTAATTGACTATGTGATGCTTCACATGTCATTTCCCAAACCAAGCACTGGTTTTTCACAACTGCTTCCTAAAAGAGGTTTTTCAAATAATTTCACTGCTGAGCCTGCATCTAACTAAAGAAAAGGAACAGCTTCTGGAGGCAGAACTTTGTACTCATCCTCTGCACCCAAACATTAAACAAAGGATTAAACGAGAGCAACTTCCCATGCTGACATTCTCTTGATTTCTCTTGACTCTTTCCATCTCGGGGGTGACACTCACAGGTGTAGCTTTGCAGAGCTGTTCTTTGTAGCAAACCTAGCAAACATGACAAAAGATATTACACAGGGACTTCCAAGGAACAGAAATACAACAGTGTGTTAGACATCATTAAAGAGCACACTGCATTTGGATGGAAAATACTATTCCTTAATAAACACCCGCATCTTTCCACACAATACTTAGTACTCACTCTCTTGCAGTACCTTCTATTTCAGACACAGACAATTGACACTTCAGCAGGCATACTTCACTCTCATTGATGTTAATCAAAGTGCCAGGCTAAGGAGTTATCATTTTATCATTAATTGATCAAATTAGTCTTTGTGGACAAAGAGAAGCACAAACACCACAGACATATTCACTGAAAAACAAACACATTTAGTACAGCAGAGAGAAGTGTGCAAGAAATGAAAATGGGGCACACATTGCTAATATTCCTTTGGTTATCCTTAACTCTCCTTAGTTCGGGTGGATCAGAAATAGTTGTTGCTTGCTGAATTTCTTCCTTGTATTTAATCTGCACAATAAATATTACAAAATATTAGCCATTTAAAAAAGATACAGACAAGCACTAAAACACAACAAACATTTCGTAATCTCTTACTTACACATACTGCACAGCTAGACCACATCTATCAACACTATTGACCTGAAAAGGAGCAGTTATTTAATTTCTGAAATGGGCTGCTAGGGTTTCTGATGCATCGTTTGATATGATGCAGCAGAGCAAGCAAATAAAAAGTCTAGCTTCAGCATTCAGGAATAAACATCACATGAGATTCTGGCTATATGGTTGGATTCAATGATCTTCAAGATCTTTTCCAAGCTAAATGATTCTATGATTCTGTGACTATTGGGATGTTGCATATACTACTGGGAGATCTGCATCACTCTGAAAATGACTTGGTCTTGCTATTATCTTGCTACGGAGTCTACCAGTCCATTTCAGAAACCAAGCATTTCACAGATCTGTTCTTAAAAGGGTGGATGACTTCAAAGTCCCATTCAAGTTCTCTAAAAACACACACAGGCACATCAGGGAGAAGGCACATGTTTGGATAGATGATGCCTTTGAAGATATCAGATATTTACTGCTGCTTTTGCCACATTTAATCTTTTCTAAACAGCAGTATGTTTGGATATGGTAGACTTCATAATTTGAAAGATGCGTAGAACTAAAATTTTTTCAATTATACGCCACACGTACCAAAACTGGAATCCAACTTAATGACAAAGAATTGTAAGGTTAAGTGGATGTGGTACTAAAAAGAAAGGCATCATATTTTCTGGTTTCCCACATGTTATCCAAAAGGGTCATGTTGGACAAACCTGTGTATTGTCTTTTTCTTACTGTCTGTTACTAAATGTCTGTCTAGTATTCAGCACATTCAGCTTCAAATTTCATATGCCACCATAATATAAACAATATTTGTAGACCACGCCATTCTTTACAGTGATATGGCATGCCTTGTTTTTCTTTACAATGGTAATAAAACAGCAAAATTCACAAAAACATTCAAAATTGTGTGTGTGGCAATACATAATAGTTGGAAACATTATGCATCGGTATGACTCAAGGAAGGAAAAGTACTTTAAGAATAAGGGAACAACATAATGAATCAATTTGTATAGTTTTGTATCAATGTGGCAGACAAAACTTCTGTTAAATACACTTTAAGGCTGCAAAATTAAGGACTCAAAAATCAGAAAATTACACAATTAACTCCAATGTAACCTTAGTTCTACCCCTTGTACAAATATGCTCCATATACAGCTTTTAATGTATTTTACTCTACTTAAACCTTTTCCTCTTTAAGTGTTTTATCTATTACTAAAAGCTGTTTTTCTCAAGAGAATTCTGTCTCATTCATTATCCATAATCAATGACCCTTACTTAGTGAGTAGTTTGCATGTAGACCATGACTGATCTTTTTTTTTTTCTTTAACTGCTCTAAGGTCCTGATTTGATGACAGAATTACTTATTTCTTCAGAAACTTTTCTATGTTGCTCCTCACTAAAGCATTTGAGTCTTTCACACATATTAATTCACTAATTCTCCTGTGAAAGGAGGAAGAAAGGAATTGTGACAAGGAAAAGTACTATTTTTACTAAAGAGCACAGACAAGTAATAGGTAATCTGGCTACATAATTTTAAAAAACATAGGATTATATGGCACCTGCATTCAAATGATAATTCCCATTGAACTGTACTTCGCAAAAGGGAAAACTAGAGGAGGTCCACCTCCTTGGCAAAGTACAAAATTTGCACTTTGGCATTGGATCATCAGGTCTAGACACAGGGACTTGAATTCAGGTTCTTGCTTTTGCCTATTGACTTAGTGACCTTAATAATACTCCCTAAAGGTATCTCTCAGTGAGGCAATTTCTCAGCATTTAAAAAAAATTATAAATGTACATTCCTTCATGTGCCTTCATCTTAACCCCTTGTGGTTTGTTTAGATTGACTGCACAAACTCAGGAGAACAAAGGTAGTTTTTTACCTCCATTGACACTATCATTAAAGAAAGAGAAAATATTTCACCAAGGGTACCTCAGATACATGCTGACAGGGAGGGAGCGTTAAGTCTAGATGACCTTGGGTTCTGTTTCAGCTCTTGTGGAGCACAGGAGCACATCACTCTACCTGTCTTACCCCACATTTTGCCTCTCTACCTTGTCCATGACCAAGACCTCCTACGCTTTCAGTTCCTCCTCCCTGGCCTCTTCTTTCCCATATCCACTGTATCAAATGACATTTAGTAGATAATTTTTAACTCTCTTCTCCAAGACGTGGTTCTTCTGGAGAATGCCAAAATTTTCAATACAGACAAAACAACTTGTTTTTCTCTAAGCTCATACTTGGAAGCTGCTTTGGCTGAAACTTATAAATAAATAAATAAAACCAAACCAGCCCAAAGCACAGACCAGGAATGGAAAATTTCAGTCCAGACAGTTTAGGACTGGCAGAAGTACTAAACCACTGGAAAAAGGGTCTTTTAATAGAGACTTAGATAAGTTTAAGAATTGGCATTGCTACTAGTCCTTAAAAATGCTTCGAAACGTCTCTTGTTTGAGTTTCAGCCAGGCTTCAGCTTTGTGGTGTTGACTGACGTATCACAGGGATTTCCTCACGGATTTCACACAAACAAAAACACAATTATAATCTTCCCTCAAAAGCCTTCTTCCCAGCGCTGCGTCCAGCCATGTCTGTCCCTCAGTATAAACAAGTTTTTAAAAAATCTTCCTAGTTATTTGTAGCTTCTCAGTTCAGATTCAGTTAAGCCCATGGGTGTGCTGTTTGCCTGTAAAGTTGTGTAAGATCTTGACTCCAACCATTTTGGAAGGCTACTTCTTCCAAACCAAACATCACAACAGGTGAGATGAGCTCAACCACCTTGGCTGCTACCACCTTGTTTTTTAGGATTTGAAAAGAGACTGTTCTGAGCTTTGTCTCCCAATATATGTCATCTGGAAGAATTTGATCGCTTTCAGAAAATGATGCAATGGACAGTTTTGCATGGTTTGGTTGTACAGTGAGTTATTTTGGTTGGGTGTTCTGGTTTTTTTTTGCACTGCAGATGTACTTTACATTCCATAGTTTCATTTAGCTCAATAAATAGCTTTAAAGCTATCCTAAGACCTTTTGGCTAAATTCAAAGATATGTGTAAAATGTTTACATCTAATGGAGCCAAAATTGTCATAATTTACCCTTCCTTTGGGATTCCAGTAAATGACACAATATAATTTCCCTCTTACTGACATATAATTTAAAACTTTCTTGCACATTGCCTTTAAATCTGGTAATCTACACTTTTGATAAATATCATACAAGACTTAAGTAATCTCAAATACACTACCTGTAATAAAGTATATTTTGTAAACATTATCTCTAGACAGAGACTAGTAAGGTAAAGGCCATGATACTTACATCATACCCCTTAACCACTAACGCATTTTGTATTTCTCTTGATATGCTTTTCTTCAAGTGTGTTTACTAGCATACTGATGCATGTTTCATTTTCTCCTTTTCACCACTGTTTAGGATTTGTAAAACAGCAAAAGCACTGCACACTATTTTTCTATTTCCCATTGAAAAATATTTAGAAAAAGCATTAGAGTAAGACTACTCTTAATAAGCCTGCATGTATGACTACTCTCAAAATAAATGTCTGTGGTTATTGGAAATCAAATAGGTAACAGGAGAGTAGGTCTTTGTTTCTAGAACACCACTACAAATCTGGCTAAAAAAACCTCAAAAACATGATTGCATGGGGGGGGG